CATCCATGTGAAAGGGACACATCGAGTGGCTGCCACCCGCACGACCCAACCAGGGCCGGGGACAAACTGCAACCGAGGTACATGCCCTTAGCGGGAACCGAACCCGGGTCTCTCTGGTCCACAGGCCGACGCTCTAACCACTGAGCCAAACCGGCCAGGGCAGATAGTGGTCATTTTAAAAACTGCTTTATTAAACTAATTCACATACCATAAAATCCACCCATTGTAAGGGGACAGACAGTTCATGGATTTCTGGTAAATTTTTTTTTTTTTGTAGCCTCACCTGAAGATATTTTTGCATTTATCTTCAGAAAGAGTGGAAGGGAGAGAGGGGGAAAGAAAGAGAACATCAACGTGAGAGCCACCCACACAACCCCAACCGGAGCCAGAGACAAATTGCAACGGAGGTACGTGCCCTTAGCGGGAACTGAACCCAGGACTCTCTGGTCCGCGGCTGATGCTCCAGCTGCTGAGCCAAACTGACCAGGGCCTGGTAAATTTATATTATGCAACTGTCACCAGAGTCCAGAAAGTTCCCTCAGAATCAGATGCTTTTGATTGTTTTGTGAAGTATGTTCACTACATAATCAAGTACCTTTCCAATGAATGGCAATACTTTTTAAAAATCTCTACATGGCCCTGGCCTGTTTTGCTCAGTGGTTAGAGGACCAGCCTGTGGATCAAAGAGTCGTGGTCAAGGGCACATACCTCAGTTGCGGTTTTTCCCCAGCCCTTGTGGGGTCGTGCGGGAGTCTCTCTCCTCTCTTTCTCCTCTCTCTCTCTCTCTCTCTCTCTCTCTCTCTCTCTCTCCTTTTTCCCTCCCTCCCTCCCCCCTTCCCACTCTATCTGAAGATAAATGGGAAAAATATCCTTGGATGAGCATTAAAAAAAAAAAACCCTGTATCCTTTCATTGTTGTAACAACAGAACCAATAAATAGGTCACAAGCCACCTGTTTCATTTGTCACCCATTAGTCTTCATAGAGAAGTTTGGATGCCACTTGCCTAAAATGAAACAGTTCATCCACTGAGTATGTTAAATCTACTGTGTCAAGCATTGCTTTGCCATCCCTTAAAACAATGCTTCATACGTGTACTTCATAGTTCAATAGTTCTTCAATAGTTTATCATAATTCAGCATCCATTGTGTGGCAGGCAATGCACCAGTAGAGTCCCTGCCTTCAAGGGGCTGAGACAAAGATGCAGACGAATAAGTACAGTAAGGATCTGTCATCAAGTCCCCCAGTGGCGAAGCAGCATAAACAAATGCATTAAATCGTATCACTTTTGTTAACGTATACCGAGTGGCTTTCTTGCTCCAGAAATTGTTTCACTGCTATGGAAACCTGATGTCTCACGAAGACCTTTTCAGAAACAAAACCTTTTCTGTAGAAACACTGTGACCGGAGCATCCCAGTACAGGGACTTGGTCTTACCCATGATGGACCCAACAGCAACACATCATTTGACGGTGTGCGCTTCACAGTGAGAATCGATGATGGACAAGTGCTGCGTTAGGAATGTTGGAGCACACTGAAGAAACTTTCTTGTCCCTAAAAAGACAGGACTTACACACAAAGAATTAAAGCAGCCCTGGCCGATTTGGCTCAGTGGTTAGAGTGTTGGCCTACGCACCAAAGGGTCAAAGGTTTGATTCCCAATCAAGGTCATGTACCTGGGTTGCAGGTTCAGTCCCCCACCCCAGGTCAGGATGTCTGCGGGAGGCAACCAATCATGTCTCTCTCACATTGATGTTTCTTTCTCTCTCCCCCTCCCCCTTTTCCTCCCATTCTCTCCAAAAATCAATGGAAAAATATCCTCAGGCCAGTCAGTGTGGCTCAGTAAATTGAGTGTTGCCCCATGGACTGAGGGGTCCCAGTTCGATTCCCGGTCTGGGCACATGTCCAGTTGCAGGCTCGATACCCAGGGAGTGTGCAGGAGGCAGCTGATTGAGTTCTCTCTCTCACATCTCTCTCCTTTCCTCTCTCTCTAAAATAATCAATTAAAACATTTTTAAAAATATATCCTTGGGTGAGGATTAACCAAAAAAAAAAAAAAAAAAGAGTTAAGCAGACGTGCGAAGAAGCAGAGGGTACAGTTCCAGGGCTGCTGAGGCCTCTTCCTCGCGATGGGCACACAGACACGGGGCACTGGAGGTCGTCGGGAGATACAACTAAACGCCTTTGCGAGGGACTGCACCAAGGTGAGGGGCCTTCTTCCCCCTCACGTACCTGGACTGCCGTTCAGTTATCTGCATTAACCAAGCTTCCCGCTTGACGTGAGCTGCATGGAAAATAAATGAACTGGACGAGACTGGAAGTAGGGAAGACCTGCAGTGTGCTAGTTTTAGGACGGCATTTCAGGGTGTTCACTTTTTTCAGCTTTTCCTGTTTGCGGCAGAAAAACAAGGCCCTTGATTTCCTTGGGACACTGTTGATAGTCTCGGGTGTGACCATGGGGGGATGTTACTTGAGATGAAAAATGGGCATAAAGCCAAAAGTAAAAATGCTTTCCCCTCAGCAATTTCTCATTTGTTTTTCAAAATCCAGTCTTTTTTTCTAGTTTTTCCTACTTTTGAATTGGGCATGGTTATATGTACTCTGCTCTCCCCTGACGCGTATTCCGTTCCAAGTATAAGGATCCTGGAGCAGAAAGGTCTTGTCACACCACCCTCATCCCGTTCTTTGGGGGCCCCCGTCGCTGAGGACCAAATCTGTGACCAGGAACGGGGGCAGTGGGTCTGCCCTTCCCGGGACCTGACGACCCCTGGTTTTAACATTGGGCTGGTCAGAGACCGATGTCAACCCCCTCCTTCTCCAGGGCCAGCACCAAGGGCAGGCCGTCCAAATGACCACAGCCCCGTAGTGGAAGGTGATAGCGTTTCATCCCCCTGAAATGACCGTCGCCTTCCTTTCCACTGTCCTGACACATTTTTCTGTCTTTGCTAATTTCCATTTGAACACCTGCTCCCAGGGTGGAGTATTTTGCTGGATCCTAACTCTTCTTTTTTCTCGTTTTCTGGCTTAATGTCCTCATTCATAATTCCCTTTGTCAAATCCACCGAGGAGGAATCAAATGTCTGCCTCCCTGTGACTGGCTGCTCCCCAAGATTGGGTGGAAACATCAAGGTTGGAAAGGCCACGGTGGGGGGCTATCCTGTGAAAATACCGTCGCCGCCACCACCGAGGCGTTTAATTAGTGCTCCTCAGCAAGGGCCGGGTTTCTTAGCTGTGAGCAGAGGGCCGGTCAAGCTCTGAGATCTGTTCTCTCTTGAGACAAGCCCCTGAGGACACCTGCTGAAGAGTCTGTCGGCATCTGCAACTCTCTTCCTTTGGTCAGCACCCGCTTTCTTGGGTTGACCCCGGGAGTTAAAGGAAGGGTCTGTTGTCATCAAAAAGCATTCCCCTGTGTTCAGGTGTTGTGCGAATCCTTGCGCGTGGTGGTCCTTCCAACCGGAGGCCTGGGGAATGGGAGGGTTGCCCCAAAGTGCAGGCGCCTGGCTTCTCCTGCAGGGCCACACCCCCTCTCTGGGGCCTTCTGAGACCTTGGCAGAGGTTAGGAGGGAGGGTGGGGAGTGTACAGTGTATTTTATGGGAGCTGTCTTTAACATACCTCGATATTCTCTATTAAGCATCACCTGATCCTCCTCAATCAGTCTTTCTCCCTACAGTTTCCTTGTGTGGCTGCCTACATGACCAAAGAAAGTGACTCCCCTGTTTTCGGTCGTTCCCCACCCCCACCAAACGATGTTGCGATGGCTCGCGGCTCAGTTTACCATATCAAAATAAACCAGGTGTCTTGGGGGCTAACTGCACATGGAATTCGATTCACGTTACAGTCATAACTCACACATTATTACCAACTAGCCTTGCTTACCGTCGTCGTGTCTCTATAATAGGTGCATTCATTACCTCATTATAAAGGAATACATCGACGACAGATTTTGAAAAAGCGGGAATCAGAAGTCTAACAGGACCAGCGCACTGTCCACAGCTAGGTGCCATCATAATAAAACGCCCAAAGGTCCCGCTATGGTGGCACAATCCCAGAAGTCTCTCCTTCACTCTCATATCACTACTTTTAGCAACTTGTCCTGCCCCTGTTTTTCAAGACTCTCTTAGCCAGATGGCAAGCACATTCCTAGCTGCTCTTAGCTAGAAGGATAGCCTGTCAAAGAGACATTTTCTTTGTGCTTTTGATACTCCCACCTGTCGGAGCAGGGAAAAAAGCATGGGTCGTCCAAGCCGGTGAACTGGGATTCTCATGTGGAATGATTTAGATAAAGAAGAGCCCCCGACGTATTTAGAAATCACCCGCATCAGGCCCTCTTTTGAAACCGTTCTCCTCATCTGGGAAATAATTTGGCTCTGTAATTGTGGTATTCAGGAAGTTGGGGCAGGTGGTTTGGTAGAAAGAACAGCTGAGGAGAATCCGCCAGTGAGGCTGAAGGGGGTGGGGGCGGTGGAGAGCTCAGGGGGAGCAGGGGCCTCCTTTTCTGCCCGATGGAAGAGGTCTGGAGAAGGCAGTGGCCCTGAGCATCCAGGCCTAGGCTCCAACCCCCTTCTGGGCCTGTAGCTTTGATGCCTGGAGAGCGGCCCCTGTATTTCTCTTGACCCAGAGGATTGGGAAAGAGTCTGCCAGTGGGCGACACTGGAAGGCACCTCACTTCCTCAGCCCTGCAATCTGATTTCTGAAATAACTGATATCTCCGGCTTGCGGTGAAGTGGTCTGAGGTTTTAGGCAACTCTGTGGGCTGTGGACACCCACTGGGGTTGGGGTGCAGCTGGGGTTAAGCCAAGAGCTTGGTCTTTCCTGAGCTTCCCAGGCCGTGGTTGAGAACCCGGACTCCGCCAGCAAGCAGAGGGACCTGGTTCCCTGGCTAGTTTCCGAGGTGAAGTGCAAGGTCTGGGTCTGACTGAGCATCCGCCCTTCCCAGACGAGCCCGGACCCACAGGCCGCATGGCGGAGGTGGGTGTGCTCAGAGTCCCCTTCTCTCCCCAGAGCCGGCCAAGGCTGCCTCGGACCTGACTGCCTGGTTCAGCCTCTTTGCCGACCTCGACCCCTTGTCGAATCCCGACGCTGTTGGGAAGACGGATAGAGAACACGAATTGCTCAACGCGTGAGTCTGCGCCTCTGGAAGGAGCCACGGGCCGTCCTCAGCCTCACGCCTGGGGGCCCGCAGACGGGTCCTGCGATCAGTATGCTGTTTTCCTATTTACGTGCCATTTTAATAAAATGAAAGGGCCAGAGGCCCTGTTTATATTGGTATGATTATTTACTCTTACTTGGTCTGAAGGGATTTAGTGTATTCTCTGTGTGGACCTAACGATACAGGAGTGTGTCGGAGCAGTTTCCAGGCCGGCCGCTCTCCTGCCAGAATGCCCGTCCTGGCTGCTGCCGAGCCACCGGGCTGGTCTGAGATCCAAGTTCAAATCGGAAGCCTACTTTGCGTTGGGTTTATAGACGTGTCTGCAGCCGCGCAGGCAGCGGGACGCTGGCGGAACTAAATGCGTCCTCTCTGCCCCCTGCCTCTGTCCCCTCCGATGGAGGCCGCAGGGAGGCTCCCCTGCCCGCCCAGCCACCTTCCAGCCAGCTCTGGACGAAGCTCCAGCCGACCAAAGACACTGTCCTCGCCCCTGCCGGTGGCCCTGGGCTGTCTCCCGGCGGAGCAGTGGGCTGGGCTCCGCTGCATGAACCTGCCTGGAAAGCAGCCGTGTCTGCAGACTCCGGCGTCTCGTGTCCTCTCTGTGGCTGCAACTCAAAAGCATGTATTTCCGGAGTCCCTTGTGACATTCACTGTTGTTTTTTAATTAAATGAAAAAGATATTTGACACGCCAAGTCAAGTTAAGAAATGAATCTGTGGTGGGGACACCGTGGGGAGGTCTGTGGGGCTAGGGACTGGAGAGGGATGGAGGAGGACGGGCCACACCTGCAGGCGCTGCTGGCACCACCCGAGCACCCCTGGGCCCAGCCGCCGGGGAGGAGGCCCTGGCCCTTTGCTGGCTCAGGCAGGGGTGAGAGTTGCCATTTCGTCTGTAGAAGCAAAGCCCTTGGACAGTCCACAGTGCGAGAGACCCCAGAGTGATGCCATCCCCTCCCTTGGCACTGGCGGCATGCTCAGTGAGAGGCCACACCCCCGAGGAAGCCCGATACAGCCCTTCGACGACGAGCCAGTGGTCTGAGTGGGGGTGGAATTGATGATGGGCCGGGAAACGGTTCTATGTGCCCAGCTGGGCAGGGAGGCCTCTTCTGCTCCTCTGTGGCCTGTCTCCAGCTGGAAAAGGGTCTCCCCCAAACCCACAGGAACGTGGGGCTTCCCTGCTGCCTGTGGTGTGCCCTCGTGGAAGGGCCCAGCCACTGTCCCCTACAAGACTGCCTGGGGGACCCGGGGACCGGAGACAGGGACAGAGGAAGGCAGTTCCCTTTCCTGCGCGGGAGGAAGCCTGCAGGGGATGGGCTGGGGACTCGGGGTGCTGGGTGGCTTGTGTATCTGCTCACTTCCCGGGCACAGGCTGTCCTTGGAGTCTCGTTTGTTAGAACCGCACTTAGCGGTCCCTCAGCCTGGCATTCTCCGTCTGAGGAGATGAAGATAGAGCCCCAGGGCCCCACCTGGCTGCCCTCCCTCCCACACACCGGAGGGCTCGCTGTACCCTTAACCTCCCCCACCCCCCACACTCCTCCCCCAACTCTGGCCCGATGCACTTGCTGCCCTCTCCACCCTGATGCCCCCGGCTCCAGCCCTACCGACCCTGGAGCTCCTCAGATGCCACCTCCCCCACAGGGACTTCAAGTGTAGCTAGGGTTTTCCTGTGAGGAACACCCCTCCTCTCTCCCTGACAACTCCCCTCCTGCCTGCTCTTGGTTCCTGACTTGGCGTGAGATGGCACTCGGTGGCCTCCCGGGTGCTGTGTGCCTCTGCCCGTCCTCGCCTTTGCAGTCCCCGGTGCTCCCGAGTCACCTTGTGAGCACTGGATTAATGATTGCCGGAGGGGCTGCCCCGTGTGGAATGCGGATTAAGGACTCCCAGTTCCACCCTGGGTCACAATTGTTTGCAGCCGCAGTGAGGACAGGGATCAGGAGGGGCTGACTCTGGGCTGGCGGCCCAGGGAGCTCCGCGGGAGGAGGGGAAGGCCAAAGGGGGTGCGGGGTTCTCCCATGTTGAATGGATCACTTTAAATACTAACAGACGGCATGTTCAAATGGATCTGAGTGAAGGCGAGAGGAGAATGGCGGTAGTTGGACAGGCTTTGCAACAAGTAAAAAGAAAGAATTGCACATGGAGGCATTTTCTTCCTGAATTTTCTTTACATTTTTGTTTAAAAAAAAAAAAAGTTTCAATTCCCTTTCCCATCTGCAATCCACTTGGCCAGGCTCTTGATCCCTCTTGATAGGCGTGTTTTGATCCAGGCTCACACAAAGCCCCTCGGCCACCTCTCCAATTTAAAGAGAAGCAGCTGCTGCCTGATTCTCTTTTAAGCAGGCTGTGTGCCAGCCGGGCCAGGAGGTTCTTTGGGGAGCCCGGCGATGGAGAACACCCCGTCTCTGGCATGAAGAAGACAAAGGTGCCCACCCTCATCACGCCCAGTGTTACTTCTTCATTTTCTTTCCGTGTTCTGAGGCCCTTCTCCCCCACAACTGCCCTGGAACCCTCAAGGAAATTCAGGCGGCACCTGCTCCTTGGAAACCTGACTGCCGTTTTCGGTGGTCTGCAAGCCCTCCACCCCCTCCCTGCCCTGCTGGTACAGACATGTACGGACCGTTCCCATTTCAGGGAGGGAGCCAGGAATGCTCCTACTTCTTCCTTTCTGACTGTTTTTCCCCAGCTGGCATGGGCTTGGGTGCACATTATAGATTCGTTGCCTTCAAAATGTAATTTTAGAAATGGCAAGTTGATTTTGAGTTCTGGGAGGGTGAGAAAAACATCCATCAGCTTCAGAATTAGAAATACACCAATGAAGAAAGAACTAGCACTTTGTGACAGAGGTTTATGCCCATGAAAATGTGATCTGCTCAGAGTTGGCAGCTCTGGGAATCCTGACTTGCCAGTGGGCATGTAGGTGGGGCTTACCCATCATGCTGTGGCCAGTCTTTCCATTGGGTGTGGGGCAGGCTTGAGACCCCCCAGGTGCCACGAGAGGCTGCCTGGCCATCTGGGTTAGTGGCACCTGCCAGACCTCTCGTGCCTTCTGCTCGTGCTTCAGCTCCAAGCACCAGCTCCTTGCTTCCCTTTCTGAGACCAGTGCAGAGACCACCCCCGCCAGGGGCCGCCCCTGGCAATGGCTCAGGGCCGACGATGAGCACTACCGACTTTGCCAGTATATCAAACTTGCATCTGTCTTTGTGATCAACTAGTGTCCTCCAGACGGGCCATGGCAATTAATCCTCTGCTTTGATTTAAACCATCCCCCCAGTCCACTGATGGGTACCACTCACACAGCAGTGATGCAGGTCCCTTCAGCTCTGCTGGGAAATAGGTTTCGGCTTGGAGGGAAGCTGAAATGATTGACAACGGCTGCCAAGAATTCTGCATTAGGAAAATGAATGATGTTTCTGACTGGTATGGGCGGGGAGTGGTGGCGATAATGTTACATATTTCCTAACACAGCATTAGACCTTGTCCTCGTGAGGCTTATAGAGCCTCCCCTTCTCCCTTCTCCCCTCCCCCTCCACTCCCACTTACTCATCATCAAAAGTAACTAGGGTCCAGCTGGTGTGTCTCAGTGGTTGAGCATCGACCCATGCACCAAGAGGTTGCTGGTTCGATTACCGGTCAGGACACATGCCCAGGTTGTGGGCCCGATCCCCAGTGGGGGGCATGCAGGAGGAGGCCAGTTGATGTTCTCTCTCATCGATGTTTCTATCTCTCTCTCCCTCTCACTTCCTCTCTCTCTAAAATCAATAAGAGAAAAAAAAAAGTAGGATTCTAGAACCCTGAAAGAGGGGTAAGTATGGATGAGAAAAGCAGGAAGTTCAAAGAACACATCACTACTGAAACCTTACTCAACTCAAACTCATGTAGAGACCAACAAAAAAGTGGGGCTGTATTTATTTGCCCAGGTAACTGAACAGTACGCTTCAGGCATACCTAGGTCGAGGGGCTCATGTGATACTCTCACCAACTGTGCCCTCTGCAGCTCCCAGCACGAAATCCCTTCGCGATGCTGCATTCGCATAAGGAAGCAAAAAGGCCCAGCATCTGCAGCGGTTTGGGAATGGAGCCTGCCTGGGGTCCCATGTCCCACCTTCAGCCAACCAGGATCACGGTGGGTGGGGCTCAAGCTTTCTTTGTGTCTGTCCCTGAGGCCTGACCCTCACGGACTGAGAATGAAGGAATGATGGACACTCAAGGGAGAACTGGGTGCTGTTCCGAGAGGCAGGGGATGGATCCTGGGCAGGAAACGCAAGAGCAATCCACACTCGTCTTCACTGGAATGTGACACTTGTGAAGTGTTTCCAGAGGGGTGTTCAAGAACTGGAATGTGCCCTGGCCGGTTTGGCTCAATGGTTAGAGCGTCGACTCGTGGACCAGAGAGTCCTGGGTTCGGTTCCTGCTAAGGGCACGTACCTCGGTTGCAGTTTGTCCCCGGCCCCGGTTGGGGTTGTGTGCGTGGCAGCCAGTCAATGTGTCCCTCTCACGTTGATGTTTCTCTCTCTCTCCCTCCCGCTCTATCTGAAGATAAATACAAAAATGTCCTCAGGTGAGGATAAAAAAAAAAAGCTGGAATGTTCTCCAGAAACCCCACTACAAGGGCCCCTTTTGAGGCCGCCTCTCGACACTAGGGCCGCAAGGCCTGGTGCTCCCAGGGCGCGCCGAGGTCGCAGCTCTCTTGCAGCTGACTTCAAGACGTTAAAAAAGGATCATGGGGCTATTTGCAGCCAATGTGCGCATATCCAGATGAGGAAACCGAGGGACTCAGGAAACCTAAAAAATAAAAAGCAAAACCGAAAATGTACCCCACAAAAAAAGAAACCCCACGAAAGTATACGTTAGTGGAAAACCAGGACTTGAACCCATGTTGCCTGAGTCCGGGCCAAGGCTTCTTTCCCTTCAACGTGTTTGCTGGAAGCTGAAGGCGGAAGCAAAGAATTCAAGGACGAGCAAAACTCCTCCACGAACCAGTCTCTCCCTCCTTCCCCCCCAACCCCTCTCTCTCTTTCTTTTTCTTAGGCCAGTTATTAAACTGATAAGAACAGATACTACACTTGATCTTAGCCAAAAGGCCGAGAAGCGATTAGGCCAGTTATTAAATGCACCCTTTGGGGATGGAATTTCGGACAGTCGTATAGGTCAGTAGCTAAGAGTTTGGGTTCTGCAACTGGACAAATCTGTGGTCAAGCCAAGGCCCCACCAGCTGTAAATCACGAGCCCTCTCTGAGCTTCTGTTTTCTCATGCAGCTAACGGGGATGGTAGCAATCCTTGCTCGTGGAGTTACTGCCGGGACTGAGTTAGTATTGTTCTCACACACCGCGGTGCACCAGCATGGCCACTGGGGTCACCGAAGGTCACTCACTTGGTAAATGCTACTGAAATAAATAGGAGACGTCTCCCTCTCCACGACCTTCCAGAGTCTCTCTGAGACTCTCATTTAACTCATTCCTAAACATCATGGGAGTGGAAGAACGTAGGATGAATGAGTTGCTCCTGACTTTTCCATAAAGTTGGGCAAAATTTCGTGCCAGGAGTAGAAGGGGAGCGGGTTCTCCGCCGCACAAGGGGGACATGCTCCGGACTTGCTCATCTGAAAGGCATTTCGAAGACAAACTGCTAACCAGACCACTGATCAAAAGAAGCTGGGATGCAGAGCAGCTGGAAGTCTTGCGGGG